ATGTGTTTGTATGGGCATGTGTTCTTTTTTCTTCAGGAGCTGGTCGGCGGCGCTGACTTGTTCGACCCCTTCCTGGCTGCCTACATTGCCGCCCACCGTCACAAGACACTGACGAGCGACCAGTTCCGACAGTTCTTTGAAGAGTATTTNCGTGAGGTGCGGCCAGGGGGCTGGGGAGGGGGACGGGGGTGGATGGGGAGGGGGACGGGGGTGGATGGGGAGGGGGGGCCGCGAACCGCGAAAGAGCTGAGGGGTCAGGGAATGCGGGGGTTCAGGGGGGTGAAACGAATGCCAACGTGTGCAACGTTGGATTACACCTCTTGCTGCATAGGTGTGTGTGTATGTGTGTGTATGTGTGTATGTGTGTGTATGTGTGTGTGTATGTGTGTGTGTCCGTCTGTATGTTTCCCCGGGGTGTTTGCTCTCCGGGTGCAGCGAGGACCGGGAAGCGATTGGAGTCCCACCCTTCAGGTAACCCTGACTCACTAAACCCTTTAACTATAGGTACACGCCGGCACGTGTCATCTGACTTCCCCTCCCCCACTCCCCGACCATCCCCCACTCCCCGACCAATCCCCACCATCACCACCCCCCCGACCTCCCCCCGACAAATCTGTGTCATCCATCCTTCCCCTTTCCATCCCACCCCATCCCTCCCCCCGTCCCAAGGTTCCCGCTTCCCGTACTGTGGACTGGAACACCTGGCTCTTCAGTCCAGGGATGCCCCTAGTCACCAATCAGTACGACACCTCCTTGGCGCAGCAGGCGTACGACCTGGCCATGAAGTGGCACACCTGCGATGTGATGGGTAGCGGCAGCGAGGGCCCCCCGGGCGCCTCCCCGGCTGACGTGGGGGGCTGGTCTTCGGAGCAAATGGTGGCTTTCCTCGACAAGCTGGGCCAGTTCAGGGCGCCGCAACCTATGCACAAGCGCGTGACGCAGAGATTGGCGGAGGTGTACGGCATATACGACAGCAACAACGCAGAAATCCGGTGGGAAGTGCCCTTGGAGAGGGGGATTTGGGTTTATGTCGCATGTGTGTGTATTGGGGAGTGGAACTGCTGGGGTGTGTGTGGGGCGGGTTAATGGCTTTGGTGCGGACGGGTAGCTTGTGCTGTAGGATATGTGCTGTGTTTCCTCTACCGGTCAACAAGTCCCTGCCTTTTCAGGGGTCTCGATGCCGGGGAAGTCGCGGTACGGCAGTCCTTTCCGTACCCCGTACCCTTCCCCATCTCCCTATACTGCTTTAAATTTTTACCAAAATAACGGACGCAACGTGGATGAGATGCCTGCTGTGATGGTCTTCTTTCACCCACCTCCCAGTCCGGGTCCAGGCAACGATGCCGGTGACACCCGTGTTGTTCCCCCGTGTTTTTCCCCCTTTTCCCTCTGCTGATATTCCCCCCGGCCCCCTCCCCTCCAACCACCTCCCATTTTCCCCCCACACACACACCTCCCCCACCCCCCCGGACATCCGCAGCTTCTCTTTCTTCAAATTGGCTGTTCCGGCAGAGGACGATCAGGCATTTCCCGCCGCAGCCGCCATGCTCCGGAACCAAGGTCGCATGAAGTTCCTGCGGCCGCTGTACAAGGCCCTCCATCGCAGCAAGGCGGGGCGGCAGCTGGCGTACGACACATTTGCGGAGGTCGGGGCGTCGTACCACCCGATTGCCCGGAAGATGGTGGCGGCGGACCTGGGAGTCCTGGTGGAGTGAAGACCGCGGAGGCTGGGAAGCGGTTTTGGTGGCGGCTGACGGAGGGAGAAGGAAAAGGAAATCGATGGGGGTGCGTGACCCCATACCTGTAAAACTACCCAAATCGATGCTCTGACCAACCCGGGATGGGAGGGCTGGGGAATCTCAATGTTACAACTGTTTTCCTTCTTGGAGTGCAATATTTGGAGCGGAATACCGCAAGAAGTCATGGGGGTAAAGGAGCGTGTTGACTGGTTATTGAGTAGACCTCTCCCCGAAGGAGCGGTGATAAGGGCACTATGGGAGCGTTTGATGAGCGGCTGGGACCATGCGCGTCTGACTGTCTTGCCAGAGGAGTACCCATCAGATGGGAAGCAAATGGCGAAGTATAAGCACTGGATGGGGCTGTCCTTTTCGGGAGCCGCAGCCGTCATGTGGCCAACACATGCTAAGGTTTTCATTCCTCGTTTAGCACATCGTAAGCTAATGCAGTTTCGTTTATGTTCCTGGGCTTTGGAGGCAAACAGAGCACGAAGGGGCAAGTACCATGTCCCCAGCGGTTTTGCCGCTGTTTTGGTACTAATAGCTGAATCGACGATGAAAAACACGTGTTATTGGAATGCCCAGCCTATAATGATATTCGTGCTGAAGAGGGATTCGATCATCAAAATAGCATGTTGGGGGCCATGAAATGGGAACCAGTACGTCTGGCGAGGGTGTTGGAAAGTATGCGGACTCACCGAAACTCAGTTATCCCCTTTGGACGCTAGTCTGGGCTGATGTGCGGTGTTAGGTATAGATATTGCCCTTGGGCCTTCGGCTCGTATGGGTAGTTTTACAGGTATGGGGTCATGCAACCCCCAACCATGTAACACACACACACACACATCCCCCCCCCCACCCATCCCCCCCCCACCCCCACCCCCCCCACCCCCCCACCCCACACACACAGATGCTGATGACATGAATTGTGAAGTCAGACAGCCTTCCAAAACATGAGAATGTGTGTATCCAACAGTGGACAGGGAACTATGTAACAGCTCATAAAATTTACAGTATCTCAACCTCAAAACAGCAATTAAAATTCTTCAACTGCAGTTCAGCAAATGCTCGAATGACAACAGCCAGTAACATGATAGAACTTCCCTTTCAGCATGTCCTTAATCCTAACAGCTTTCGAGGCCTGTTAGCAACTACACCCCTTGACACCACTTAACAGCTCAAGTGAATTGAACAATCGCTAACAATTAGCTTCCCCAAACCCTAACAGCCGTCCAACTTTCTTTCTCAGCATCTGGATGACCCACCCAGAGTGTAATATCCTGTCAACAATCTTCATTTGTGGCAGGCAGCACTCAGTTACAGGTCCTTACAGCTGCTAACAGATCCTAGAAGCAGATGACTGTTAACAGCTTGGGCTCCAGGTATATGTCAGTCACAGGGCCAAACAGGACAAGACAGCCTCTAACCCAGTCCCCTCTTTGCCTGGTGTTGCACCCAGTGTCTAACTGGCTGTTATGCAACGTTGACAACTATCGTCAGCAGCTGATAATGAGCCCGTCTGACAGCCCCGCCTAAGAAGTTAGCCGCTGTTATACCCCCTATGAGTTAGTAGGGAGATGTACGGCAGTGCGTGCCTTCTCATTCTCCTCATCATGCATTTTAATGTGCACGAACGGTGTTCCCTTTGCAAGATAAAGTACAATTACATGCACACTTTTCTCATCGCATTGCACGCCATCATTCCCCCCCATCTTCACACCCACTTTCCTTTAATCAGACTCATCATCTACCTACCAGATCTGGATCTGGATCAGGATCCTGCTGGGCTCCGCCTCCGAGGCTGTTGCAGATGGCAGATGCACCACTACTGCTGCTACTATCATCATTACCCTTCTCACTCAGCGGCCGAGATGCAGCTGTCGCTGCTGTCACCACTGCTGCTGCTATGTTCACTGGTGCAGAGGCCAGCAACACCCTGGCCCCGCCACCTTTACCCCCTCCACCTTCATCCTTGATACTACTCCTGCTCTTCTGGCTGGCGGTGCTGACGCCGCGAAGTGCCATCATCAGCTTATTTTGCTGCGCTGGAGATGCCGATGTAGTGGCCCCACTGCCTGATCTGGGCCTCAGTGGCAGAAGCATGGGTGGCAGTGAGGGCCTCTGCAGCGGGCCGGCAGTAGCCGCCCCCCCAGCATCCCGATCGCCTCCACCGCTTATCGTATTCCTGCCGTTATTACCTCCAACCGCACCACTGCTGCTATAAGTTGGGGCCCGTGGTGCGGGCCACATCTTTGATGACAGGCGGCCGGATGGTGTAACTGTCACTGGCATTATCAGCGGCGTTCGTGGTGGTGATGACGTTCCTTGTAGCAGCTGATGTTGGTGCACAGGGTTGGTGCTGTTCTGGCAGCCAGAGGACTGCTGCGCTGCAGATAACTTCCGGTCATTTTTGTAGGGCTCATCTTTGTGGGCGGCCAGTGAGTTGTTAGTGTGTACCACCGGCTTCGTCAGGGTTTCCGCTGCAACACTGCTTTCCACCGCATCCGACCGAGAGGAGGTGGTAGCAGCCACAGGTAAGCCATTATTATTGCCACCGTCATCAGGGTCATGGCTGCCGCCAGCTGCCGTGTCCCTGCTATCCCTCACAACGAGCACAACATCATGAGGCAGTACTCCATCACCAATAGCAAGTGCAGTCGCAGTTGCAGTAGCAGTAGCAGTGGCGGTACCGCTACTGCCAGCAACACCGCCATCGCCATCACCATCGCCGTCACCATCTTCGTTTATTGTACGTCTCCGCTTTGACAGCGACTTCCGAAAAGAGGTTATTATGGACGTTTCCGTACGGTGGCTCTGAATCGACATTGGCGGTGAGGAGCGGTCTCCTGTTGTCGCCAACTGTGGCTTGATAAAGCCCAACAATGCGACAGAGATACGGTGCCATGCAGAAGTGCGCAGGCGGAAGGCTTGCCTCAGAAGGGACGGGTTGCGAGGAAGCTGGTTATCCGAGTTGCGCACAGTGTAGGTATGCAAGGTCTGCTGTTGTTCAGACAGCGGTGCATAAAGGGATGAAAGTTGGAAAGGACGAAAACAAAATTTAATATTGGGTGAAGTGGAGGAACAAGCTAGTGTAAAGATGGGCCGATATTAATATTAATATGCATTGAAAAGCCCAAAGGCAGGTCAAATTTCAACCTGCTATTAGTATTAATATGCATCCTTAAGCCCAATGGCAGGTTAAAATTTGAATAAACGGAATTGTGCAGCTGAGGGCCAAACAAGGATGGGATGGATGAGGGTGGGACTGCTAATTGTGGCTAGCTAGCCACAATTGCCTATAGGCAAGCCTGCTGAAAGGCGCAAGCTACAAGACAGGGTGGCTGGAAATGATCATGATCCGTGCACGGCTGCAGGGAAGCCAGCAGTACCAGCTGAGGTTGCAGCCTCACTTAGCACTGTGCTGAAGTTGTAACTTGCCACTACAAATGAAGGGAATGGCCAGCCACATGGTCCACAACACATAATTGGAATCCTCCCACACAGGAGCATTATTGTGAAGGTAATGTCACTGTCGTTTGCGAAAGACTAGTTATGGTATTATATTATTTGTATACCTGGCGCGGGTTCAGCCCAGTGATTTTTTTTCATTTAGGGGGGGTCTCAATTTATTCCAACCTAAGTAACAAAGTTCCTAGCGTCACCGTAATGTATTCCTTAAG